GATTAATTCTCAAGTATTCAAAGGAAATTCTCTTGAGGCAAGAGAGAGTGAAATAACTCACATATATTTTATAAAATCTGAATTCCCTTTAATGAATGAAAACCTAGGCTATATATAGCCTTACAGGACTCAAACCCTAGCATGTCCAATGGACGACCTTGCCCTTCATTAAGGGCGAAAATGTCTAACAACTAATTGACTAAAATTAAGACTCCAAATTCGGCCAAAGTGAAGTGAAAATTGACCGAAATTATTAATGCTAACAAACAACTAATAATGGAAACTAAAACCCTAATTAGCAAGCTAGTACTCCGCGAACTAGTCTTTACTTGAATCTTCCAATTCCCCATGTGCTTGAATGGAATGGGCCTTGGTCTCTATATTCTCATCAAGAGGCCCACATTCGGTGGTTGTTAGGGGCTGGGTTGGTAGATTTCTGGATAGATATTTGGTGCGACAATGCTCCTCTGAAGCGGTTGGTGCTACCAGACAGGGAAAAACCCCATTTTTTAGTGGCCAAATTTTATGGGCAAGAGGGTTGGAATGTTGATAGATTAAGGCAATGGGTGCCAAATGAAGTGGTCGAGCAGATTTTGTTAATATTGTTTGATCCTCAGAAAAAGGATGAAATCGTGTGGAGTTCATCTTCAACAGGGAAGTTTTCGTTAAGCTCTGCGTGGGAACTGGTTAGACAAAAGAGGAGTTGCTCGTTGGTAAATGAAATAGTGTGGAACAACACCATTCCTTTAAAGTTGCCTGTTTTTGCCTGGGGTCTGTTAAACAGGTGGCTTCCACTGGACTCAGCAATTCACAGGAGAGCTGTCCCTATAATGTCCAGATGTGCATGTTGTTTGGAGGAGAAGGAGAGCTTTGAGCACCTTTTTGTTAATGGCCCGATTGCAATGGAGGTTTGGCACTATTTCGCAAATATGTTTGGCATTTCTTCTCTTCCTGTTGAGGAGGTGTCATTGATGTGGTTGCCACGGTATGCATCTTTGGGGGGACTACCGAAGAACCATATTCGTGGTATAATCCCTCTAGTTATATGTTAGTTTCTTTGGATAGGGAGGAATAAGGCTAGGTATGAAGGCCATCTCTTTTCGGCTCAGAGGGTGATTTTGGAAGTGGAGGGGTTTTTATATGACTTGGGAAGGGCAAAGTGGTATACTAAGGAACAATTCTTTAAGGATATGGATTGCCTATGGGTGCGTTTCATACCTATAGTACCACAACGGGTTAAGGTGATCCCTGTTGCTTGGGGGCGTCTGCCTAGGCCTATGTATAAGCTAAACACTTATGCTAGCATCATAAATGGTGTGGCAAGGGGAGGAGGTGTTTTACGGGGTTCGGATGGGAGAATGGTATTTGCTTTTTATAAGGAGTTTGGGGATGTTGACGGAGTACAAGTGGAGGGACTAGCCTTGTTGGAATGGCTCCAAATGTGTGCAGAGAAACTGATACAAGGGGTTATGCAGAAGTGGACTCTGCAGTTTTGGTTTCGTTGGTTAGATCTGGTGTTATTGGGTGTTGGAAGTATTGCATTTTGCTGCGGAAGATCAGAAATCTCTTTGGCTAGAATAGCATTTTCATTGAAACATGTCTTTCGAGAGGCGAATATGGTGGCAGATCGGTTGGCAGCGGGTTGGGGACAACGCAGTAGGATTTTCCAAACATATCAGCAGTTGCCTAGGGGCCTTAGATGCCAGGGAGTTTCCCTCGGTCTGATGTATTTTTTCTTAGATTATGGTCAGCTATGATCGATCATCTTGAGAAATTTGTACTGGTTTATTTATGAATAAATAAGGGAGTGTCGTCCCTTCCCGAGTTTGGGGTTTTTTGGCAAAAAAAAAAAAGGAGACAATGAAAACTACTTCGCGAATGTTTTAGGGACACTATTTGCCACTTTGGGAGAGTAGTTTTAGGTTAAAATCAACTTATTTTCTCTTGTTTTTGGATTGTAACTTGAAAATTCAAGGAAGAGGGAAGGAGCTCTTTTCTGGTGATGGTACAAGAGTTTGTCTTCCCTCTTCTTTTTATTATAGTTATGAATTCCATGTTATTTATCAAATTTATTATGTTCTTAAGTTTTATTATGTTTAGCTAAATATTTTGTTGCTAAGGTCAAGAGTGGAATCAATTGTTCTTTAGTTTATGATCTATCTTGGTTCAAAATTGAAATTTTTCATAGTTGCACATCCTCGAACGGATAGCAAATCTAGAAGATTAGTGCCTTTCTCGAGGAGTACATAGGGAACTACATAACAACAAGCTAATGACATAATCAAAACACACAAATAATGGCAATGTTATCTATATAGTAGGAAATCAACAAACAACTCTCCTACGAAATTGTAAGTATCAACAAGAGGAAAAAGGCCATTGATTGAAAAGGCTTGTGCATATACTATTTGATGTTTTTGATTTTCAACTTTGTTTTTGAAAGATCGTTGATTGTAAAGAATCAGTGCCTTACTCAAGAAGTACATAAGGAACTGTGTGAGGTCATTGATTGTAAAGGTCAGTGCCTACTCAAGGAGCACATAAAGAACTAGGTGACAGCAAGACAATGGCATAATTAGAACACACAAGTAATGGTTCAAATGTTACTTGTGTAGTAGGAATTCAAGAAACAACTTTCCTGCCAGATTTGGAAGTATTAACAAGAGGAAAAAGGCAATTAATCGAAAAGGCTTGTGTATATGCTATTTGGTGTTTTCGGTTTCCAAATTTGTAATTGGAAGGCCATTGATTGTAAAGCATCTAAGGTGTTAATTGACAAACGAAAGTTGACAACTAATACTACCTGGTCAAGATATGAATTTTAACTTATGACTCACACAAATAAGGAAACACTTAATAAGTAATTTGCATAATATTGAGTTCTTAATGATTCTTTAACTTGTCTCAAAAAAGTAGTTTTGGACTTGTTATAGAGATAGTTAATATATTGGGAAAAGCAAGTATTGCAATATTAGGAGATTTTACCATAGTTTCTCATAAGAGTAAACTACTAGTTAACCAAAATAAGATTATGGAAAGGACAATTGAGGAAACTTCAATTACTAGTTACCCTAAGACTCCGTAATTGCTAGCAATTGTTGTCATAACTGATATTTGTAAATTTTGTAACTAATATTTGTATATTTTTTCTATCTTTGAGTAGTTTTCTTAATTTCCTGCATTCTTGTGACAATTTATAGTTTGAATAATAAGATAATTTAAAATGTCTAAGTAATTTATTGCCTTTTTTCGTGGGATCAATACCCGAATACCCCTTATACTAGTGTTTGATTTATGCAATTATAGATGGAGAAGTAGATTTTAAGTAAATATTTTTACTTAAATTAACAAAAAAATCAAAAAATAATTTTCCAAGCAAAAAGAATTGTAATAGAAGTTGTCATGAAAATCTAAATCCTTAAAGAGAACAATAGAAGTACTTTAGTAAGAAAATGACCACATTTGTATTAAAAAAAAGAATGAAAATTTTCAAGAAGAAACATAACAAAACGTTTACAAAATATTGTCCTGTGTAAGGGTAAAGAAGGATAATGAGCAACTTGTTAGAAAAGAAAATATTAGATTTCTTTTCTAAGAAATTTTGTGTTGTTTAAAAAATTCTTTTTATTTTCTTTTCCAAATCTCCATAAATATCTCCTAAAGGTTGAATTTTATATATATATATATATATATGGGTCAAGTTATTCTCTGGCTAAATTATTTTATTATTTTCTCAATATATTTATGAATGCAATGATCCTTGGTATTATAACTTGTTTCTAAGAAATTTCTTTATTCGTTTATTCTTCTTTAGTGTCAACAACATTTTCTAAAACAGAGCGCCAACGTCTCTAAAAAAGTTTCTAAATAATTATTTTGCCCACTATATTAGGCTTTTGTCTACTAAGTGACAAAAATGACCTTGCAATATGGTTTTGCCGTTCATGTGTCTTAAATTCCTTTACTTTGAACTAGGGAAAATCAAAATGACCTCGTTGAATAATTTTAAATTTTTTGGTAGGTAATTTGGCATGAGAATTAGTATAGTGGGTTAACTAAGATTTTCAAAATGTTTATTGACCAGTAGTGCACTTTAACGTAGTGGCCTACTTCAAACTTTTGTTAAATGATCAAAACTTTACAAAGTCAATAGTTTAATGGACTCTTAAACTTTTTACTAGGTGCATTGAATCTCATTGTTGTAAGTTAATTCAACATTTTTTTTTAGTGTAAATGGGAGCACTCAAATCCAAAATCTCTTACTTGCATTCTCTCGTAATATCCAACATAAGAAAACACAATACTACAAATATAGAACTTTTTTCTTCACCATAAAAAGAAAAAATAGTTGACACTGTAAGCAAAACTAATTTGGTTAAACCAGCACCAACGTGGCCATAATCCTAAATATATCTCTCTGTGCATCAATTCACCATGTACATAGGTCATCAGAAGTCACTAGAAATATAATCATATAAAGACTCTGATAGAGCGTTCTTGTCATTGTGAGCATGTTCAATACTCCAACCTTTCTTTTGTATGATTCCATGGTTACTAAATCGCGGTTAATAACAAAGCAGATATTTCTGTTAAAATACTCTTTCTAACCATTCATATATCCCTCAAGCTGCACTGGTCACTTTCCTTTTTATTTATTTGCCTTTATTAAATAGGTAAGCAAGAATGAAAGAAGGAACCATGTGGATAGAATTGGTTAGTAACACGTCCCAATCCAAAGCCACGAAAATAAAACAAAAAAAAAAGCGGCTTACATTCATTTATCTTATCCATTGCTGCACAAGCTAGAAAATCGTCTTTCAGAAATCAGTACAAAACAATGAAAATGTGACGCTCTTCGCAATATATTCAGCATTCCTCAATCCAAAGCCACAAAAAAATAAATAAATAAATACTACATTCATTTATCTTAACCATTGCCACACAACCAAGAAATTTGTTTTCAGAAACCAGTACAAAACAATGAAATTGTGACACACTTCGCAATAAATTCAGCATTTAGCACTATTTAGAATAATTACTCAACTGACACTCAGAATACTCACATGCAGTACAAAGTTTTACCTTCCCAATTGTATACTAGATGGTTTTGTATCTCTACTGCCATTGGGTTCTACAACCTTCATTGAGAAGCTATAAACAATCATGATCAATGCAAACTTCATTGAAAAGAAACAGCTGAAAGTACGATTGTCCAAATCATTATCATTCTAATTCCTGTAGTTCCACTTGAAATACCGCTGATCACTAAACTGCACTCACACAGTTCTCCCAAGTCCCATATTTTGAGCTGAAAGTTCCTCCACCACTTTGTTGTGCAAATTCTGAAATAACTGCACGAGCACAAATGTCCCACGTCCTTGCCATCTCCGAAAGTGACATAGGCTGTGAAAGACTTCTCAGTGATATACTGAACTTGGACCTGGCTTTAATAGAAAGATCTTCATACTCTTTACTGCACATAAGATTTATTTGATACAATCTCAGTGAAGAGATCCAATTGATGCTACAAGAAGTACAAAAAATAAGGGAAAAGAAATGAGTGGTCAGCGGTATTACAAAAAGAAAGATGTTTTGTCGCTTCAAGAACCTTCAAATCACAAAAAAGAACAAAGAAAAACCTTTCGGTGTCACACCTTATGTCACAGCTATAGATAATCGAAAACCTGATTAACTATCTCAATTCATATTTAACAGCATGTTATCCTATCATCCCATCATTTGTACACGTCCATCTGAAGAATGACTGCTTTTAAATTGGGCATTCCATGTCAAAAGGTGCAGAGAGGTTCAACAGCCATTGGACCTCTGTCTCTCCCCCCCTCCCCCCCCCAACCAAAAAAAATCCCATCTCCCTTTTCCTCCCTCTGAGCCTGTTCTATCTACAGAACCCCACATCCACCCATATATCCAAACACATGGCAGGGTCTCTAGGGCCTACTTCATGTTTCTTATATTATCCTTCCAATCCTTGCCACCACAGATGATGGCTAGTGCAGTTTGGCTATAAATATATATCAAGATAAAGGTATCCATAAATGTCTATTTACAGATCAAAACACAGAATTGAATAGGACCCACATTTTATGTTACTTACCTAACTTCAACAGGATACTTGTCCAAGAGTATAGGAGAGGAATCAGGATAATTAGTTGGAATGAGCAATCGCAGAGGCTGAATTGGTGACTGAAACAACATTGAAGAGACAAATAAACTAAGGCTTGATGCTACTCACGGAAATGAGTGGCACACTAGTATTCTAGCTAAAAAGCATAAGAATCTTACCATCCGTGCTGAAGCATACTGTGATTTCAGGTTTGGGCTAAGAGCTACAGCACTGAAAGAGCACTTGACAATGGTCCCTTCACCACCATCAGCTGCAGCTACTGCAATTGGATCAACATCTTCATCGCTGATATCAACCACAGTATCTATGAGGTGTCGATTTATCTCATGTATCTCTTCCACAAGGGCATGGTTGGCCTTCAACCAGTCACAAATTGTTCGATCAGTAACTAAGTGCATCAAATCCACATAAGTCCAATGATAAGCATCTGCAGAGGCATCTACACTAAACACACAAAAACATCCACAACTGGCTTGGATGCCAGACACATCTAATAAGCTATGCTAGTTTCAGATGACTAAGAATGGATAACAGAAAATCAGCGTGATGATTTTCAGACTTCATGTTGATTGGTATTTGTTTAAAAACAATAAACTTTCCTGTTCAGAACAGAAATCTATGCTATATAGGGGGAGGGGACTTCTAGTGTAAACAATTTTGTGTCACCTTATCTTCTTCCTAAACCGCTACCGCATCTCCTCTTACAAAGTACCATGTATTTCTTCTTATTTTAATTTCCACTTATTTATAAACCCTAATTTTTATTAGCAACTCCTAATTATGGTTACCAAATAACTATCCATTTAAACACTATTTTGGTGAATTTTCTACTATTATATCATCAAAAATATAAAACCAACTCTCCTGAAAATGATTTCGACAAATATACCCAAAAATTTTAATAATATTCTTCCTACTGGTTGCACAAACATTAGTGTGTGCCTTGAACACTAGTATGTTTTATTCCAGGCTTACCAGTTTATAAAGCACCAAAGCAGAGCATTACATAGTAATGCTATGATCAACTAAAGCAAATAAAACCAAGAGGCTGCAACAAAGAATCAAAGATGCCACAAACCAGCAGCCTGGAAACGTATCCTCATTGCCTTGGCCCATGGCAGAGAACAAGAATATATGAGAGGAAAGCAGCAGAAGAATAAAAGAGGAGGAGAAGAGCCAAAACCTGATTTTGAAAATCAATAATACAAAGAAGTGATTCAGGAGATTGAAAACTTAAAAATATTGAATTGCCAACTTGCAAGAGAATTATGCCACGTAAAGAGACCATTAATATGTTCAAACAATTCCCACAGGTTTTAATTCCAAAAATGGGAGGGAGGCAAATAGCATAGCATATCTCCTTCAGAGCCACAAGGTGCTCCGGACAACTTCAATGTAGATACAGTGAATCCTGGGTTGCAGTTCTACATCACATTGTCTATTGCATTTTGGGAAAGCAAACATATCAGATCCTGACAAAAGGAAGCATGTAAGATTCTAAAACTAGATGTGCTAACATCTCTTCTAACATCATCAAATTTTAGACGGAATGAGACGGTTAGCTTCCCTTCACCATTAGTTAATCTACCATGGAGTAAGATAAGAAAAGCATATAGCTTGCAATCCTAAGCAAACATGGAGGTAGTAACTTCCACATATACAAAATATGCATTGGCTCAATTGTTTTAGATCAATAATGATGGACAAGGAAATGGAAAAACCTCATTCCTTGGCCTTCTGATACTTGATGTAGCTGTGGATTCCAATTCAAAGGCATCAGAACTGTTTAACTGCCTCATACTGTCATTCACACTACCAACAGATGAAACAACATTGGAAGGCATTGCACTCGTAGAGCGCCTCATTTTCTTTGTTCCAGTCGGTCCATCTTGTGTGAAAAAGTTTCTTGCTTGCAAGCGACATTTTGTCATTGCGACCAAATCCTCACCAACAGCAGCTCTTGATCCATTGCCTGGTGCAGATCCAGCTATCCTATCAACCATACTGACAACTGAGCTTATATCATCAACGGAGGCAACCAATGCTTTATTTGAAATTGATTGTACCTGAAAATAACAAATATAGATCTTGTTTCTAACTGAGAAGGTGCAGAAACATGTTAAACAAAGAACTCGGTTCATGTAAAATTATAATAGAAACTAACCGCTTTAATCAACCGTTCATGTGGCTTCTCTACAGTATGTGGCTTGCAGGGCAATGCAGTTGATGTGTTGACATGAGCTCCATCCAAACTCGTAAATTCCGCAAGCAATGGCGAAGCTGATATCCCAGGAGTGCCAATTGCTAGTGATTGGGCTGCTGCAGACACAGTAGTTGCATGCGAGGGTCCAATATTTCCAGCATTTGAGAGGGATGAAATGCCAGAATTTAGTTTTTCTGACTCGCTAGGCATAGGTGATGGAGCCAAGGGAGTCGAAGGAGATGGGACCACAAAGGGTGAATTTGCAGCCTGCAGTGGAGTTCCAGTTTTTGCTATAGACGTCTGCATACTCTGCTGATCAATTTGAGGGGAAGCATGCGGGGGAACCTGAGGCGATGCTGCCTGAAGGACTTGTGGTGAAGAAATAGGAAATGGGCTTCCCGACTTCAACTGTTGGTGATGATACGCCGCTCGCTGGCTGTTGGTATGGTGTTGCTGGAAAACACCTGTTTTAACACTTATCTGCGGTCTCACCTTCAAGTCACTTGAATCAGTTACCTGATGTAGTGGTGACATTTGGTGTCCAGGCAGCTGTGAAGGCTGCTGCTGTGGCTTCATTTGTTGGTGCTGTTGTGGTTGCTGCTGCAGCTGCTGTTGTTGTTGCTGCTGCTGTTGTTGCATTAGCTGTTGTCTTTGCAAAAGCTGCTGCTGCAGCTGACGGGGATGCAATTGTTGTTTCAATTGCTGGGTTTGCAACATTTGCTGCTCCTGTTGTTTTAGCTGCTGGTTATGAATCATAGTCGAATTAGGCTGTAGAGCATTAATGAGGTTTGATTGCAGCGCAGTCAAGCCACTTTGCGATGATAAAGAATTTATGTTCATTGTTTGAGGACCACTGGCAGTATTCTGCTGTAAAGAGCTTATAGCTACCTGCTGCAACGGGTGAGTATTACTTTGTCCTGGGTCCAAAGTCGAAGCAGGCTGTAGGGTACTCATCATATTCTGTTGCAAATTCGAAACTGGTGGCACAGAGGACAATGTGTTCTGTTGCAGGCTGGTCAAGCTATTTGGCTGCATTGGTGTTATGGAACTCTGTACATTCATTGGCTGCATCTGTTGGTTCATTTGATTTTCCTGGGGCTGCATTTGAGGAATTTGAGTCTGAGGCTGAGAGTGCTGCATGTTGGACATTTGCTGTTGGGCAAGTTGCACTTGTTGCAAAGAAACGGGCCTCCGGGGCCGATTTGTAGAAAGAATATTGATTATCTGTTTTTCAATGGAAGCCAACTTCTCCTTGTGACTGATCTGAATGTCATTCTTGGTACATCGCAAGAATCCTATTAGGCGTTCCAGCATGAGCTTAAAGAATTTGAGCTTTTCAATCTGCTCATTTCTCGGTTGTTGAGGAAGAGAATCATGCTACAAAAGGACAAGGCTTTCATTAATAAGAATCGGGAACAAAAGAATGAACCTTTCTAACAGAAAAAGAAGATATTTTGTTCCTTTGTTTCTCCCACAAATTTTCTCCCATTTCTGGAACTAGTACATATTGGTATGGACAATAACAAGCTCTAGCATGCACAAGCCCATTGTCTATACTTGATCAACAAGCAGATGACTGACAAATGGACTCGGGAACAAACGAAAAGTTTTTCTTGGCTCACTGCACTTGATAAGAGGACAAGTTGACTGTTTCTTCCTGGTTAACACATTAGTAGATTGATACTTAAAGACCTGAAAAGTGGATGCAGATTGCAAAGTACCACTCTGCAATGCTTTGATAGAACAACGATCACACATAAATTACACATACCTGTTGCAGCTTTCCAGCAATTTTCATGTACATGTCATTTAATTCCAGGAAATACATGTCCTTCATGGATTTAATCTGCAAGTAAATTTTGCAAATGAGAACATGGCTGCAGATGGAATCTACATACTGAAGCTAAAAAATCATTCTATACCATTACATCTCCTAATTGAAAATGAAAAGATCATATATCAATACCTTTTGATAAACCTCCTCCTGCCAATCTCCACCACTTGCATTCCCCGTCTGAGCTGTTGAATCTAACGAAGCTACATAAAGTTTCAAATAGGATATCATATATGTTATTGGTATCAAAGGCAATAATTACTTGTGAGATAAAAGATGAGATTAGCACGAATAGCAGTAAAAAATAGGAGCATTGCCATGGCAAGCAAGAAATTGCATAAACAAACATAATTTGCAAAAGATGAAACATAATTTTGCCTAAAAATGTAGAACATAAAAACGCATTGGCCAACATTTAACAAATTAGTGAAAATTAAGGCACTATAACCTTAATAGCTAGTTTGTGAGTTGAGGATAGAAAAGAAAAGAAGAGAAAGGGTAAGTTATGAGAGAAAAGAAAGGATAAGAAAAAATTTTGTGAGCTTCCATCAGTTTTCCTTCGCTTTCCGCCCGTTTTGGTCAGAAAAATTTTGCACTGTAGCAGCGCTTGGCTTTCCTTCAAGATCCGTTCGTTTCTTTTCTTTTCCGTCTCACTTAAATGTCCCAAACGTAGAAAAGTCTACCTTTCCCTTCCTTTCTTTTCTATTCCTTTGAAATCTGAACTCCCAAACTAGCTATAAAGATGTCTAAGAATTAATAACCAAGCAGATGTTTCAAATAAAACTACAAGAATAAAAATTCACAAAATCTTATCATGATGGGAGAACAAGCTAACTTCAGTGCATGTTATCAGAATGACAACCAACATTAGGATGTTTAAAGATCAATACATAAATTCTGGAAAAGTAAGAAATCCTATCCTGAGAAAAGTGCGCAAAAGTTCATAGAGAAATGCACAACATAAGAACAGATCAAATAACATTGAAAAAGAAATAATCAAAAACTCCATGGGATATATTCAAAAAAGAAAGAGCACAAACTTGATGATGCCTCAGGATGGGCTCTTTGTGGCTGAAATAACTGCTTCTGCTGTTCTACAACATTCTGCTGTTGAAGCAAAGAACCTGTAGGTTGAATCTTTTGCTGCATATCTCTTTGCAACGCATTTGACTGCTGCTGCATATGTTGTAGGCCCCCTGGTTGTGCTTGAATCTGTGATACCATCTGCTGCTGCGGTTGCTGTGGCTGTTGATTTTGGCTTGGTAGCAATGCTGTTGCATTCTGCTGCATTTGTTGCTGTACCGCAACCTTAGATTGCTGTAACATGACGACAGAATGCTGACTTGTCGGCATGGCAGAGTTACCAGGTTGAGTCCCTCGCATTGACTGCTGATGGAGCCCAGAAACGCTACTTTGAGGGGCCAACTGTTGTTGATGCATACTCGAAAGGCTGTTCTGTTGACCTATTAGCTGCTGCTGCTGCATATTGTTCTGCTGGCCTATCAGCCTTTGTTGCTGTTGCTGCATATCAGGCATGCTATTCTGTTGGCCAATCAGCTGGTTGTGTTGAATATTTGTAGCACCAGGCTGCTGCCCAATCAGCTGCTGCTGCTGTTGCTGCGGCTGCTGTGCTGCAGGCAGTAATGGCTGTTGAGCCATGGAGGTTTGCTGCTGATGCAACATGGAAGCCTGTTGTGACTGTTGCTGCTGTTGTTGCTGTTGCTGCTGCTGCTGCCTCAAAACTGCTTGAGACTGCTGCTGAATTACTGGTTGAGTCACTTGTTGCATAGAAGACTGTTGATTCTGCTGGAGGCCAGATAGAGGAGCTGACTGCATTACAGATGGCTGCATAACAGCTTGCTGGGAGGTTTGAATTTGAGTTGGTTGCAAAAGGTTTTGCTGCTGCTGCTGCTGCTGGATATGAGATTGCATAAGGGGCTGTGCCATTGCTCCTCCTTGTTGTAACTTTTGTTTCATGTACTGATGCTGCAGCTGTTGTTGATAAAGATAATGCTGTGGATTCTGTGTCTGCTGTTGTTGCTGCAAGGGAACAACCTGTTGTTGTCTAGCCTGCATCTGTCTTTGAGAATTAGTGAAAACATTTGAAGGCATCACCTGTCCCATGGAACTCCCTACTGGGTTCTGAGAAACACTGGGAACACTCTGCATGTTCTGCAAATTGGAGTTCTGACCAATATTAGGCATGGGAGCCTGCTGCAAATTACCAGCAGTTGGAAGTGTAGAAGCCAAAATAGCAGAATTCTGGACTCCAGTTGATGTCATATTAGTCTGCATGTTTTGCGGTAACAGCTGTTGTCGGGATTGTGATTGGCTGCTCACCACTGGCATGGGATGTTGCTGGTTCTGAATTTGGGATTGCATGCCATGGACAGCTATCAAGATGAACAGATGCACATGGAGAAGGAGAGAACTCATTCATTAGACATCATCGAAAGGATAGAACCACAAAGGAAAAAGACGTTTATCTCAAATGTCAAAACCAGCAAAGCACAACAACAAATGGTACCAAAACTAATCCAAAAGCAGTAACACAAAAGTCCAAAGCAATCAGGTGATAACCTACTCCAATCCTTCTTAACCTTTTAAAACAAAAAGTACATATATCTTCTGCAACTAAATGTTCCATCAACTTCTTCGATGCAGTCTCAGTTTACAACTCACAGTAGTCAACCATTTAGACGTGGCCAGCAAGAGAAACCTTAGGCCTAGAAAGATACTGACAAATCCAAGCAAGCTTAATTAATGGGTGTAAAGTGAGTGGATTTGAATCACCCATTTAGATCCAATTAAGACAATAAGATCATATGAGAGAGAGATTAGTACGCCACTGGATTTTTGGAAATACTCTCTGAAGATCAGGATGTGCAAAAACAGCAATTAAACATTGATTGTGTGGACATCAAATAAAACAGTATTCTGGACAAAAGCAGATATTGATAACGAAACTCCAGGTACCACTGCTAACTATTTGGCATCATAAGAAAGCTAGATTGCATCTCATAAACTTCAGAAGACACTAAAGAGCAGATGAGCTTACATGAAGTTAAGTCCGTAATATGTTGACTAGATTTAACTCTTATTTCTCATATGGGATAATATCCTTCAATCATACAATTAATTAGAGTCAAATCTTACAAGATTTCCCAATCTGACTCTAAGACAAGATGCTGAACAGCTGAAGTACTAAACACAAAATATAAAATCCTACGGAAAAAGAGCTAACTTACCAAAATGCCTATCAAAACCAAAAAAAGGAACAACTGAACGCATGAAACCAAAATTCCTGCTAAACACGCTTGGCTAGAGACTCCTAATTAAGATACTTTTGTGTTAGTTACCTGGAATCTTCATTCACCCCAGGCAGGACGGGATATGCACCTGACACAGTCAAAAGCTTTTGGGTATGTCAACTGTTGTGATGCGATGTTGATGGCCAAGGAGGAGAGATGGGCAAGAAGTCTCATGAGATGGGAAGAGAATGGAAGAGGAAGAAGGGTCGTTCTGTGGAGGGAGGAGAAAAGAGGGGAAAGCCAAAGCCACTCAAGTTTCAAAAGAAAAATACTCACATCCCATGGTGTATTTTCACTTCAGACATAAGGGCTGCTTCTTTCGTTGGAGGAAGATGTGAAATCGTGGCATCTGAGAGTAAGAGAGGCTATGATAAATTGAAAAGAGGCACTCTGTTTTGATGTGACGGAAGCACAGAATGACTAAGAGATACGGTTTGACAACAATATCTACTTTGCCCCACTATTTCAACTTTAATTAATGAATAACTTAAGGTTTCTGCAATTTTTCCCTTCTCAATAAGAATTCATCCCCTCCTACTTAAATACATTGTAACCCAGCTTATGTTTCTTTTCAATTTAATCGCACATCTAATTGATCTTTTCTTAGCATATGCTTTAAACAAGTTTTGGATATTTTAGAATGATTTGTGTTTAAATATCTTATGTACACGAGTATAAGAGATGCAACCACACACCTGTACCCAAAATTGGGCAAATATCCCCGGATCCTGTAACTTTCAAATACGGAAATCTGACACTTCAACACGCAACTGCACCCAGACACCACCCAAGTCCATGTAACGTAACTCTAAAAAAGTCTTCCTATTTTCCAAAGTGAGCTGATTAAAGCCTGAGAGAAATTCTGGAAATCATTAACTGTTGTTTTGATAGACCACATGACAATTTTATATGGCTAGTCAAGCTAGCAACCTTTTGTCAGACCAAAACATAGATGCACTTGCACCGCATGGCACGTTGGGTTTGTTAACACAGGTAAGATACTTATTCATATAGTTCCGTCAGTTCCTCACAAATATCCATGCCTGACCACTGAAGACAACATCTTTTAAACTTCGTAGAAACAACAAAGCCACTGGATCCAAAGGTTCATAATTAATTCATCTAAGTATGGCACAAAAACATCATAGGTCATCAAAACTACTAATTAGCCATAAAGAGAAAAGTAACAAGGCATCAGCACAGGCAAATATTAGAGAACATTAGCAGCACCAACTCCTATTACATTCAAAAAAGAAAGATGACAGATGAAAAGGTTGAGGGGATCAATACCACAATCCAAGAAAGTGAATATGCCATCCAAATACCTTGGTCTGGAGGATTTTTGCTTGCATTGGCAGCATTAGCTTGTAAAGGATTAGCCATGGGATTTTGGGACTTAGTTTCCATTGTCAGCATCTTCAAAGATATCTTTCTCAAATAATCTGACTGCAAAAAATAAATCATGTCCAGAAGAAAAAATTAATAACCAAATAATGAGAAACAAGAGTGACTTAATAAAATGGACCAACAGCAAAATTCCGCGCAGGATCAATGGAAAAAGGATGTAAGTGATACGTTAAGACCATGACATGCCGCAGAATTGCATGGCTACCTGGCTAGTTGCTGCAGTATAAATCTTTTCCTCAAACCTCACAGCAATTTTCTTAAGTTCTTGCAGTCCCTCTTGTCCAGAGAATGGCAGATGCCTCTTCAAAGTCTCCATTCTGCACATGTGAGCACATCTGAACATTCAACTAAAAGCTGCTTACAACCTTACAGAAGTACATCAACAACAGGAAACAAGATCATAAACCAGCTCCACAGTTGCATACTACCACACAAAATCAACTTAGGAAAACAAGCATCTTAAAGTCAATAAAGGAAAACCAATAGCAAGTAAACCTACAAGAGTTTAGAAACTATACTAAATGCAGAGTCTTCTAAATTTCAGTTTTCCACATCATGGCTTCCCAAACAAATTGTGTTAATCAGGAAAGCCATAAAAGAACTGTAAAAGTAGCACATGAATTAAAAGAGGAAGTGTGACAAGAAGTGGAAGAAGTGAAGGAGGAAAGGCAGAAGAGAACTTAGTCTTGAAACACAAAGACATGAGGATTTCATTCTTGAAACTTTTTTCAACTCCAAGTATATAACTTGAAACACAAAGACACGAGGATTTCATTCTTCAACATATTAACTCTCTCAACTTGGTACTTTCCAATCTCACCAAGGAGTCCTTCAACGGAATCCATGCATTTAAAATATCAGAAGAGGAAAATTCTGGCAAAGATAAGTTCAAAGCTACAAATTCTCGGTAAAAGATGTAGTAGTGCAACAAATATAAGAATTCCACACATACAACACATTATCCAAACGACATATTGTATTAAAATACACTCCTCTGGAATAAGACAGAGCCCATGAAGCATTGGAAGCTCCAAGAAGCTTCCAATTCTTCCTCGACTCCATTCCCAATAATACCATAAAATCATCCAGAATCTCAAACATATTAGTCTCCCACACCCAATGAAAATGAATTATTCATACTGGAAAAATAATTATCAACACCAACTAAACAAATAATACATTTTTCTAGTATTACATTAAATAAGAAAAATCACAGTTTTAACCCAGGTAAGGGCCTTCAAGAAAGTCCAGAAAAAAAATTTTTTACCAGTTTCCAAACCAGATATCAATCTAAAAAAAAAAATTTTAAAAATTGCATACATATATAATCCAAAGTAAAGAGACAAAGCAAAAAGAAAACGAGGGTTACATCTTATTTACGATTCTTTGACGAGAATCAGCTTGGAGTTGAGTCCTCCAATCGCCGCTGTCAATAGTAGCCGGCGGAGGTGCATTTGGGACAGCCGATACTTCTCCACTGCCGCCTGCTTGACCACCTTGAGGAGGACCCTGAGCCATCTGGCCTTGAGGCGCCCTCCAACTGCTGCTATCCATTGCCGAATCAAACACAATTGGTCGACAGAAATAAATCGAAAAGCTTGAAACCCAATAAAACAATTCAGAAATTTACCCGTGAGCATTAAATCTAGGGATAATTTCAGAAACCTCGGGGAGGTTTCTGACAATTTCATTGACCTCCCCTGAGGTTTTCACAATTACATTGACCTCCCTTGAGGTTTAGGATTTTGTAACAAAATCAGTCCATGATGTCAAAAATGAACACAAAAAAGTGTTTTTAGGAAGAGAGGGAATTTGTTCCCACAAATGCCCCTGAGGTAAGTGTACAAGTTATATTAGTGAAATAATGAAAACTAATAAAAACCAGAAATAAATTAGAAAAAGTGAGGGGGATGTTAGTAAAATAAGAAAAAAGAGTCACTGACCATTTACTTGCACAAAACTGTAGCAACAACTATGCTATTTTTTGCAATGTTGAAGAATTATTATGAACTATCTAAGTTATGCTATCCAATAGGTGTACATCATCCAACAATACTAGAGACAAAATGTTAATGAAGTAAACTAAGAAGTTGCTTGCAAAAACACTCTTCCAAGTTGAATGTTAGCCAATGGTCTGTGGCAACCAAGAAGCTGCAAGATTTGAACAAAACCAAGTTAGCACTAGCCTTACAACCAAAAGCCAAGAGTATAATCAAAGAACAACAATACAAGCAAAGACAGCTCCAAATCAAACAAATATAGCAGCAACAAACTTTGGTATTAATACCATTTGGAACAATACGATTCTCTTGCTTCCATTTGACATAGTCTATGCTACTGAACTTGGTAAAACCCCTAAAATTCAGGCAAAAAAAATGTGACAAGACCAAAAACAAACAAAACTTCATGTAAAGAGCAACAGAGCAGCCTCAAGTGCTTCACTAGAGACATTCTCCCTTCTTTTCTCAACTAACCAAGTGGAGATAGAGTGGGAACTCATCAACTCCCTTCTTTTTCATGCCAACATCATATATCCTAATCTTTGGATCTGGAACACCACGGTAGTACCTTGACTTTGGATAGGGTTTGTCTTTTATCTTCAACATATTATGGACCAATATTAAGAAGGAAGCCATTTTCACTTTAAGCAGCAATATTTAAGGTGGAAAAGAGTGATTTGTTGCAGAAATTAAGGTGGAAAAGAGTGAATTGAACAGGTTCATGAGCAATGCAGAAACTAAATTCTTATACTTTATAAGATTGAGTTTTGGTCAAAAAAGGAGTTGAATTTCAACCGCATGGATGGGGGCATTTTGAAAATTTAAAAAATATATTGCTTTTTTCAAGTTTTTCGTATAACTAATTGCAGCATGTATTTCGGTGTTTTTACATTAAAACTCCCATATTTGTACGTTTAAAACTTGTATTTATAGACACATCTGGGTATTTGTGGAATGTGGGTTTATTTGGTGATCATTTGTGCATTTGATCCAATTCATATAAGCGTGTGTTTTTGTACAATTACTGAAATGGGGTTATTATGTAATTAAAATAGAGCCACATTGCTGATAATCTCAGTAATTGCAATATAATTCCATTTCAATTGTCTGAAACACTCATAATTATATCAACACTTGCTTTCCTATATCTGAAGTTTAGCCGTTTGAAACAGCTTCTCTATCAGCAATAAAATACCATTTACATCCTAATTAAATGGCCAATAACATGGGTATGCAACTAAATTATTGTTTGAGTATCAGTCATGACTCTTTCAATTCTTTTTCCTTTACATTTTTTGGTTTTTCCCCTTTTGGCTTCCAGGACTGCATTATTTTTTTAGCCTTTACACTCAACATTTCATAATAGTTTTCATCAAAAGATATATTTCCTTAATATTACTTAATATGCGTTGTTATCTTATTTTTATTTTCATTTACTTGCTCACCACAGACACCTAAAAAATCCTCTTTAATCACACGTGCCAAACACCAGCGCCACGCGCGGGCATTCCCTCCTAGTATTTGTCATATGCTCAAGTTGCAACATTACAGATCCATTAAATGAAACAAGCTAAGAACTAAAATAGTCATTTATGAAACCATAACAGTAATAAGGTGCAAAATCAAAACTGCAATCCAAGAGTAATATCATTTCAGATTTCATAACCATACATTAAATAAATAGAAATGCAATCCAAGACTATCCAAAACACCATCTGCCTTGAAGCAATTCAGGCAGAGGGTGAGGATTGCAAAACCATTGTTTAGTCATTAGTTTCACATAACACCATATAAAAAGCATGAGTAGGCAGCATATTAATGAACTATAATTCACAAAGCACCACTAAGTACAAAAGAAGAGAAATATAAGCATAACAGTAGTAATTAGAAATGCAAGCTAAAACTGCTATTGGTGCTAATATTGGTAGAGTTAAGAGTTGTAGCTGCATTCATGCTAACAGATGTAGCAGCTTGAGAACAGATGTAGCAACTTGAGAATCACCAGGGGTTTGAATAGGAGCTGTTGACAAATGATTAGTTGGTCGAGCAAGTTCTGGTGCAACTCTTCTGCAAGAACCTGTTGCAACATTTGTCGAAGTGGCATGTGAAGGCCTTCCTCTCTGCAATTGATCAAAATAGAAGAGCTTGTGCCTTACTGAATATATATGTAGCAGCACTAGATTGGATTTCATAACAAAAGTGCCCATACCTTTCTTTTAGAGGCAATTGTACCTGTCTGTACATTAACCTGAACATTTATGGCAGCATTTCTAGTAGAAGTGTCGCGCCCCATTTTTGAAAAAAAATTAAATAGTATAGAGTTGAAAAAATGGATTAAAAGATGAGTGAATTGAAATTTTGAGTTTTTGATTTTTAGACAATAAATAAAGAAAAAAGGGCCTAAAATGGGACTTAAAAAGTGCAACGATTTGTGACCAAAATAATAGTCTAAAAAGGATTTTTAGGAAAAAATAGAAGTCGCCACTTGATATCGAATTTAGGTGTACCAAGTCACCTAAAAATGTATTTTTGATAAAAAAAAATAGATAAAACCCTTTTTAGGCGACTCCAACCTAAGACACCCTTTCAATCTAGCCAAGGTTAGTTGCGAGATTTAGTCGAAAATTTTCTTAATCTAATATATAAAACTTATCACATTAGGGCATTTCTATATGGATGCAAATCCAGACCTAATGAATATCGAGAGGGTCGAAATATCTTTTCAAAGTTTAATTGGTGCAAATCACATTAATTGTGATGCCCAAAATTATTCTTAGAAGAGGTCACGAATATGCAAAGATGAGACTCGAAGAAAAAGAAGAATTATAATATATAAATATACGTGATTTAAAAGAGAGGAATGCAACATAACAGATACGGGGAACTAAGATTTGTGACTCAACTTTTCTTTCTTATAGAGGGGGGACGAGAGCGTGCTAAGGTTAAGAAACCACACTCGTTCATTTCCCATATTTGAAGGGTGACTCTCCTAATTTAATCAAGCAAATGGACTAACATATTTCTATTTTCCTAAATAGAATGCAAGTCTAAATGTCATGTTTCATGCACATAGGGATAAGGGAGATAATATGTAGTGGAAATATCATGCAAGATGAGAAAAAGATCCTAAAAATGAAAAACATGTATGAAATGCAATGAATGTCATGCAAAGAATGTGAATCTAGCGCGAAAACGATCTAAAGGGTTTAGCATTGGACTAACCCATTTCTACAATCTTTCACTAGCATTGGACTAGTGAGAAATCGGAAAGAAAGACCACAACTAGCGTTGGACTAGTGTGGTAACGTCATGCATTTATTATAACTAAATAAATCCTACAAAAGCATAATTAAAGCAAGTAAGCACATAATGCACATAGAACACATAACACATAAGCATAATTTCTAGATGCAAAACCCTAATGAAAGCGAATAAACACTTAAGTACATAAGCATGCAAGCACACAAACAAACAAATGCAAATAAAAACTTAAGTACTACATTTAGGACCCTAACTACAATCTAAGGTGGGAATTAAAAAAAATAATACCCTAACTATTACATTTATCTAACTAATTACATTTTTAACAAAATTAAAACCTATCTATTATATAGTCTAGCTAAATACATGTTTTGAGCATCTATCTATTACAATTTGACATTTAAATGCCTCTCAAATAATCATCAAAATTAAATAAAATAAATGAAACTTAAAATAAATAATTAAAAGAAAAAGCCCTCAAAACATGCAATTACATATAAAAAACACATTGGAGAACATAAAAGAAATTAAAATAATAAAAGATGTTACATTCCTTGAAGTTGTGGCTAAATGGAGTGAAATTTGCTCTATTTATACTCAAAAAATCAATAAAATAATCAAGACACCAATTTAATTATAAAGAAATGAAAATAATCATGAAATCTACCAGTTAAAGCACTTAAATAAAGTATAATTAACAATTAAAGAAGAAAAGTAATTTATATTTAAGAAATCAAAACTATTAGGGACCTAATTACAAAAATGAAAAAGTTTTTGAGGTCAAATTATAATTATTACAAAGATTAGGGGTCAAAATTAAATAAAAATACAGTTTAGGGACTAAAATATAATTAAATTAGGAACCTAATTGAAAGAAAACTAAAGTTTTTAGAGCCTTAGTAAAATTATGCAAAATTTTAGGGACTAATTTGCAAAAACATTTTCTAGTTTCTTGACAAATCAGGCCACTAGGCCATTTTTCTTATTTCTTTGGGCCAAAACTTCATAAGCCCAATCGAAAGTCCAAGGCAAAATACACAGGCCAGCCTATAGTTTTACTCAAACAAATCCAACCGAAAAAAAATGGGCTTCAGCCTCCTAACCCAAGACAAAACCAATCAGAAATAACAATAACCCACTTTCAAAAAATCAAACAAAATAACCCAATCCAATTCTCCTCTATTTTACCAAAACCCAACAAATTGATAAGCCAACTAAAAAATTGTTAAGGTCTAATTTCATCCCAAAATCCAGAATTAATTTGTCCAACGATCTATTTAAAATATGCAAAAGAAAATTAGAATTTAAAAGGGGCAAAATTGATTTATTACAGAAGTTTTTCGGC